CCATTAAGGCGCCCAACGCTATATGCGTGCCTACCGTGAGATAATAATCGCGCGGATCGACGGACGTCTGGTAGGCGCCGACCCCAAGGGTATCGCCGATGACGAGGCCAGCGATCAGCGAATATGCGCTCTCTTTAGGTGTGGTTTGAAAACACAATTAATTGGTTTCTAAGGCATGACTACAGACTATAAGTGGGAACGACTACTGACTCGCCTTCAGGTATCAGATGAGACACCTGGTGGCGACGGTGGAGGCGGAGGCGGCGCTAATCACATCGATAGGCATACCTCAAGAGGGAAGGTATGGTTTGTTGTGGTTTAGTATCACTCGAAGCGGATCTCTGGTCCGATAAGTGTTTAAAAGCCGTTCAATTAGACGATAGTATCGACTGCAGGGTTGAGTGGTTTGTGGTGCTGTCGGTTGTCTTTGCTGTTATCTAAGTGATAGCAAGTGATAGTATCATCAAGGTCCCTATTAAATTATTGTTGTTAAATGTAGATTATATTTCACGAAATCACTTTTTATAGTTTAAATTCAACTTGTAACTAATGTGTGAGTGTGTGTGTGTGTATAAATAATATTTTATATTATTATGTTTAAAAGTTAATATATTTAATGTGTGTGTTAATATATTAATTTTTAAACATAATAATATAAAATATTAGTTATAGTGATATGTTGTAAAAGGACTTTTTTTAAGCAATCCCATTGACAACAATATGCTATACAGCTATTTAGACTTTTCGGGTACTGACTTCTTTGCACCTCTTGCATCCCTTGCATCTCGTGTACAATATATAAATCTTAAATAATTAACTATGTAAAATAAAATTAAGTAAACTAAAAGCCATAAGTAAAATATGATTTTAATTAAAATGAAAATAAGGCAATTATATTATATTTATTCTTTATAATATTCATATTATGTACCGTAAGTTCATTTATTTCTCGCTATATTTTAAATGGTTATAAATTTTAGTATAAACTTTACAAACTTAAATATAATCAATTTTATAAAAATTAATATAATAAAATAGGCGCAAGGGGTGGAAGCGGTGCACGAGGTGCATGGGGTACTAGCGGTGCACGCGTTACTAACGGTGCAAAGAAGTCAGTACCGACTTTTCGCAACGATTTCACATTTACACTTTATTTATTATGATATGATGGTTTATTACCTGAATATTTACAATCCTTTATGTTAAATAATCTCATTGTTCATATATTTTATTATATTTAAAACTTGTTATCAAGACTAATAGCAAGATATAAATTATTTACGAATTAAGTATATTTATTGGTACAGAACACAGTAATAATAATTGTTTAATTAATATGCATTTCACTACTTAGCACACATATAATGGCATAAATACAGTATGATACAATACAAAGGTTATACTATTATTTTTAATATCTTATAATATAAATTAGATAATTATTTTTACTTTTATTTACGGTATATAAATATTAATATTTTGTTTTATCCCATATTTAATAAGGTAACAAATAATAAATGCAACATGTTACATTGCAAAAACATTACAATATTGTATTATGAACAAAATATAGTATGTTGCATAATATTAAAATAAATTCAACAATTTATCCACGATAAAAGTTTGCATTGCATTTATTTATAATATAAATTTTCAAAAACATCTACTAAAATTATTACATTCATTTATAAGTATTTTATCTAATTACAAACTAATTTTATTGGCATTGCAAATTATATGATGATTAAAAATGCCATTATGAAGCAAAACGTATAAATTAAGTTATTACAAGATAATATCTGGTTATTTTTTATAATGTACTAAAATTAATTATGATATTAGTAACATGATCAAATTCTGTTTTTGTAAATCTTTATAAATGTATAGGACTTTATTATAGACAATTATTTTCATGTCAATGTGATCTGATAATTTATGATTAAGGTCTACTAATAAACTAATTAATAATATACACAAGTACATAAATATTGTAAAACAGTTAACAAATGAAATCCTAATCTTGGAAACAATAAATAATAAAGTGAAATTCAAAATCAATTATCTCATTTAGCTTTATTGTTAATTAGCTCAAAATTTAATTAATGTGTTACTTTATTACTGTCATTTAATATTACAATATTAGCAACATGTATGCAAATTTAGTGTTAAAAACTAGTATATAAGTAAGATAACTTAACAATACCAAATCACACAAACTTTTCAAACAGTTTTAAACTAATAGCAAAAGTTACCCACATCCATTTAACACTAACAATGTCCTATGTGTCCGTTGTACTATTGGTCACAGTGATGTGCATGTATGCCGTCAACGCCATAGGTAGCTAGATCATTTATTTTTTAAATAAATTAAATTAAATTTTACATATTTTTAACAATTGACCAATATACATTTTTTAAAGATCCAAATGACTGTAACTGTGGCATATGGTTGGGACTTCATTGCGGTAGTCGTGCCAATCAGGTAGCTAACAATGAGTTTCTTACGGGAAAGGGATGTCTGGCTAAAGGTTTCTACCAGTGCTCGGAGATCAACCATAAGGCCACGTTTAAGGGGATGTGCCCTAACTGTCGGGAGGCCGCCGCAAACAACTTGGGTCGGGACGTATGCCTGTCCCCAACCAGCAATTGGGCGTTAAAACACTAATTATTCATAATTATACTCAATTATATTCAATGTTTTAGAGTATTTGCTGTTTTCTTGTATGCAAATTAAATATACATGTAATTTATTTTTATTAATTAAAATTTAATTATTATATACAGTACAGTATAAACCAATTAACAAATTATTTATTATAGTTTTATATTGTTAATGGACTGTAACAAAGTACAATTTAATTGATTACAATATTTTTTCGCAACCATTTGCACATTTACATTTGATTCACTATGCTATAATGGTTTATTGTCTAAGCATTTACAATCTTTTTCGTTAAATAATATCATAAAATCTCTTTCATATTTTATATTTACAACTTGTTATCAAGATTAATTTCAAGATATTAATTATTTTAAATGTAAATTGTATTTATTGGTATACAATATTAACAATAGTTTTATCAATGTGCATTTCACTACTTAACAAATTTAAAATGTCATAAATACAATATAATCCAAAGGTTATTTTATTATTTTTAATATCTATTAGCAATATAAATCAGATCATTATTTCATTTTATAGGTATATCATTGAAGTTTTATTTCTACAAAACCATATATTTTGATTAAATGTACCAATATGATATAAAGGCTATAGTTTATCACCAGGGAATCCCAAGTTAAGTTTATAGGGTACTAAAATCTTATATGATATTAGTAACAATTTTGTAATTGAAGCAAAAAATAATCTTTATAAATGTACTAAAATTTATAATAGCATAGCAATTGTTATCATATAAACATATCTATACATTAATATGATTTTATGATATTTTTTGTTTGAATCTAATTAATTAATAAATTATATGCATACATATCATAATTTAATGATGGTCATATTTACTAATTCACTAATAACATATGGAAACGATAAATATAAAGGTAATCATCCGCACAGGTATAAATATAATATAATAAATTACTTAATAAATAAATGAAATCCTAATCATGGAAACAATAAATAATAAGATGAAATTCAAAAATCAATTAGCATGATAATTTATTACTGCCATTTAATATTACAATATTAGCAACACGTATGGAAATTGAGTTTTCAAAATAGTATATAAAGTAAATCTCTTAACACAATAATTCACACAAACTTTTCAAACAGTTTTAAACTTATAGCAAAAGTTAACCACATCCACTTAACACTAACAATGTCCTACCTGTCCGCTGTACTACTGGCCACCGTGATGTGCATGTATGCCGTCAACGGCGACTATGTTCCAAGTAGCTAGATTAATTATTTTAATATATACAATTAACCCTAAAACTATTTTCAAACAAATCACCAATATACATATTTTTACAGACCCTGCTGACTGTAACTGTGGCGACTGGTTGGGCCTACACTGCGGTAGTCGTGCGTCGGTTGCCTTTAATAAAGATGCGCTCATATGGGGAAGTGGATGCAAACCTAAAGGCTTCTACCAGTGCTCGGAGATCCAGACTAAGGCCACGTTTAAAGGCATGTGTCCTAACTGTCGGACCTCAGCCAATGAAAACGATAACGGTCGCGACGTATGCCTGTCCCCCACCCGTTTGTTTAAAAACTAGCTTGCTAACAATTATAATGTAATATTACATATAAGTATATTAATTACTTATATAAAAATGCCCTATTAAGTATAAGTTTTGGTTTTGAAAATTTTTGTATAAAATTAATTAATTAAATTCAATAAAAATTTATCGAGCATACATTTGTTTAAATGATTTAATTCGTGTTGCATAGTATATGCATTGTTTTAAAACGACATTGTTAAAATTGATATGTAATATCAAGTAAATATAAATTCGTTAATTAAAGTTTTAAATTTTACAATATTTCTAAATAAAATTCAATTTTTTATTAGTGGAATATGCCAATAATTAAATGCTCTAAAAAACTAATATATTAGAATAATAATTTATTATTATATCCAGCTTATAATTTTAAATATATTTAAACATTTGGAATCAAATGTTGATTTATTATTAAAAAAATATAAACTATTGTTTGTTGTAAAAAATTGTATGTTGAATGTCGACAAAATAAATTAATTTAATCAATATTTTTATAATAATTATTTTTAGTTGATTTGATTTGATTACTTAATTAAATCAGTAATTAAGTTAAAATTTTTTATAACAATTTATATAAATATAATTAATTATGGTTTGTATATTGTTAAAATTAATTTTTAATAAAATAAGATATTATGTTTTTAATATTATGTTTTACTAAACCCAAAATTATATTTCGTTAATTATAAATACACATTTCAGTTTCCTGCATGTTGCCATTCAAATAAAAAAATTTAAATCTAAAAATAAACATATATACATTATAATAAAATTAATATCGTTAACATTAATGCAGTTTATTTAAATAAAAATAATCGAGCATACAAATAATACAATGACAAATATAAATAACATGTTATTTAGCAACAAATTGTCTAAATGTAGGCGATAGGCATGCGTCTCGACCGGTATTATCCTTGTCAGCCAACCGACAGTTAGGACAAAAACCCTTAAACGTGGCCTCAGTCTGGATCTCCGAGCACTGGTAGAAAGCTTTAGCTTCACAGTCCCCGAAAAGGGTCGTCTCATAGTAATCAGGGTCGCAGTTATGGTCCTCAGCCCTCAACCCGCAGTGTAGTCCCAGCCAATTACCACACATACACTCTCCAGCTATTTAAATGCATTAATAATTTATATGATCCACTGGGTGTTTAAAAGGGTTATATATTTTTTAATGCAAACTGTATAAATAACATAATCATTGCATTTCTCAAAGTAATAAACACTATTGGATACTATAAATGCAATGCTTATGTTATGTATACAGTTTGAATTGAAAAATACATAACCCTTTTACTCATATATACGATCATATGAAAAGCAACATTCTAAGACGATAGATTTAACTGTACAAGCAAACTTTAAGCTGAAAATTTTCACTTAATACTGTATAGCAATGATCTTGAGCATAGATTAACATTCATTGGCTATAGAGCCAAGTTACTAATACTTATAACATTAGTAATTGCTGTAGATCAAAAATTTTGTTAATGTATGATCTTGAGTATAATATATTATTAAGTGAAATACTTCAGTTTACAGTTTGTTTTCATAGACACATCGTTTCAGAATTGGGCTTTTCATATGGGAATGATCTAGTACCAATTATACATATTTTTAATGAATATACCTTTGACCGTCTTAAGTAGGGTTGGTGAAAGGCATACATCTCGACCTATGTCCTCATAGTTAACACGGCAATTCGGACAGAAGCCCTTAAAAGTGGCCTCGTAGTTAATTTCGGAGCATTGATAAAAGGCTTTTTTCTCGCACCCCTTCCCGTATAGAGTCTGTTCCCTACCGCGGGTTACGCATGGGTCCACCTCTGCCCTAACTGAACAAAATAGACCAAGGTACCGACCGCACATACATTTATCACCTTAAATATAATAAAATAAAAATTTTAAGTAAAATTTTTAAATTTCCTAAAATATATTATTACCATCATAAGTCTCCGGCTTGTCTGGATTAAAGTCTTTACGAATAAATATTAATCAATTAATTAATTAAAAATGTTACATTTTGTTAAAACTAACCTGATGATCCAAATACGCTCACAATACAGCATAGGAAAGTTATGCAAAATACTTTCATGATTGGCAATGTTTAATTTTTGTTAAGCTTAATATATTGAGATGATTTATATGTGACTTATATAGTACTTGCGAAATGAAATTCACCTTATTTATCTATCACTATCGACTATTGTTATAAATTATTTTTACATTCATAAGCATTTATTTTATTTATTGTATTCAAATGTTTATTATGTCCAATAAATATGCATTAGTTTACATGGGTATCTGGGTATAATAAAACGGTTATTTCATCAATCGTATCTATTTATAAACGAGAATCAAATTATAATCTTATAAGATGTTTACTTATATTAAACATTTTTATAAAGGTTTAATAACATATTTTATTTATTGATATGTCAAGATAATCTTTATTACAATATATGGTTTAATAATATTTAATTGAATTAATTAACAAATATAATTATCTATAATACATAACATTTTATATGGCCATTAATGTTTACCATCAATGTTTTTAATGTCATAAAATATTTAACAACTCATATTGTAACAGCTCACATAAAACATTACGAAAACACCTTTTGAAACTTTTCAAACATGGACAGTGAGGCCCATTTACGTTGCAATATGTTAAGCAAGAAGTTATTGAAAAATGGATTCTCGTGCGACTCAAGGGTCTCGAGTGTCGCCTTAAATTGTAGGTCATTTGGGTCCAGACTATTATCGATGGACCACTCGCTATATTTAGCCAACACTTCCCAACATTCCGGTCTTTTTTCCCATTTTAAGTTTATCATGGAGTCCAATAAATCTTGCAATATTTCAATAGACACCGTTAATTCATCAATGTATTGGGAATTTTGCATGGAGCTACAAACAGTAATTTAATAATATTAAATATATTAATATTAATTATTAACATAATTGTTACTCATATTAAAATAAATAAATATTTAATTAAGATAAAATGGAAAGTATTATATTTGACGTATTCTTGGATTTACCCTTAATTCGTGGCATTTTGTAAATTGACCACGATTATGGAGAAGTATACATAACCTAACCGACATCATTAACCTACATTGCAAGTAAGGCTACGTTGCTTATACATTGTAATCCAGGCAACATTAACAGTGACAAAACTGTGAATATTATAACATTAGTCAGTATTGAGATTAATGTTAAAGTGTTCAAAGTTTTGTAACTAATAGTGGGATCCCGATTGACACGAGTGTGCCATTAATATTGCATTAATATTGCATTAATATTGAAAAATTATTTCCGTTTTATAAAATATAATTTATAAATTCATTTAATATTATTCTAATCCAATAAAAATTATATACAAAATTAAAATCACCTATATCTTTTAAAATAAAATATTAGTCACAGTAAGTCAAATATCATATTTATAAATTTAACCCTGTACTGCACATTTTGCTTACCTCATTAACTTTTCGGTAAATAGATCAATACTAAATATTTCACCACCAATTAGCGCCAAGCTATACAAATCCGATTTATGGCCGTACTTCATACCCTGGGTGATCTCCGGTGCCATATATCTAACATCTCCCACGTCGGTCGTGTGCTTATTGGCTGTAATATAATGTATGCGTTTATCGTGCATGGTAGCCAGGCCAAAGTCGCATAGTTTTATAAATCGGTCATTTTTGACTTTAACCGAAATCAATATATTGTCGGGTTTGAGGTCCCGGTGAATGATCTGGGGATCCAAACCATGCAAATATTGAACGCATTCTAAAAGTTGTCGAAATATTTCACACGATATGAAGTACTCGTACAAAGACATGGGTTCATCCAATTGACGATTAAACACTTGAGGCTTTAAGGTTAGTATCTTGTTTAGGCTGTCCAAACACAACTCCATTTGTATGTATAGACACTGGTGCTCGATCCACGAGTCATAATACTTGACCACAAAGTTCGAGTTTACCGTGGCCAAATTTTTAATCTCCCTGATCACTTTGCCCTTATTTTTTGTATCTATAATGATGTTCAAAAAGTCATATTAATTACAAGCAAATTCTTAAAATAGTTTCTTGTATATTATTGAAATTTATAGAGTAGGGTGTCTACCCTAATATAAATGGATTAATTTATGCAATTTATAAAGTTATTTACCTTTAAACGGAACACATTTAACCGCATAAATCTTTTGATCAAAAAGGTTCATTACTTTGTACACCGACCCAAAGCCACCCTGACCAATTTCCTGTATCTGATTAAAACTTATAGAGATAATGATTGTGATGCACGCGACGTGTGTTATAAGTTATTTGACATTCTTCCGCGTAGAAGCTTATAAAATCAACATGCTTACTTTCAATACGTTCGTTAGCAGTGTCAATTTTGTAAACTTTATGATCCCTCATAACTGGTACGAATGTGAAATTACTATATGAACGTAGCTGGGCCAGATCGTGAAATGCAACCTTTTGAATCTGGGTAGGTGTTAATTTTGGGCAAGGGAACACATCGCCACAGTAGTAAAGGGCACCGGTATTTGAGAGGAAACACGTCATACGACTGGCCGAACTGATGGCTTTAATGTCGGTTAAGTGAGGTATTAATTTCGGTGACATTTGATTGTCATTGCCCATATTATGACCTAGCATATATCGATAGTTTGAACCCCAACTGAAAACATCACCGTTTACTGTAATGGCAAACGAACAATAGTGGTAGCAATAGATGCTTTTTACTTGGTACCCTATTGGAAATTGTAGCTTGGTCGGTTCGAGAACGCAATCATTGAGGTTGTTGTCGCTGCACCCAACTTGTCCCTCACGATTTCGTCCCCAGCCGTATACCTTAAATTGATATTGTTATACATATTTTAAAGATGTTATTGTCAGGTCACTGCCTTAAAAACCAACTTTGCCTCCTTGGCTCTCCAAAGGGAGAGAGAGAGCAGGTTATATATTTAACTATTATTAAATATTAATTTTTTATTAATTTTATACAAAGTATGTAATGTAGGTTATAGTTTAATCAGTTAATAATTTAATAATTTTAATTGTAATTACAAATAAATAGCTCTCTCTCCCTTTGGGGAGGCAAGGAGGCAAAGTTGGTTTTTAAGACAGTGCCTTATGTCAGTTTATGTAATTATTTAAATAAAGGTGCATATTATAATTAAATGTGCATATTATAATTAAATGTATACTTCTAATAAGTAATTTGATTGGTTTTTAAAGAGATTATTTATCCACTCATTGTTTAGACTACTTTCTGTATACATACCTCTCCATCAGTTGTTAAGGCAAGTGTGTGTTGGTAACCGCAACACAATTGTTCAATATACTTTTCGTCGAAAAAGTGTATTGTATCAGGCACACAATTTGACATAAACTCTGGTTTAAGTCTTCCCAATTGAGCATGGTCATTACAGCCCCAACTATACACATTATGAACATCATTAACAGCGATCACAAAATCGTACCCGGTCACAAAGTATTGTATTTTTTGGTAGCATAGCTCCTGAATGATTTGTGGTCCATCATAGCCGACAATATTGGCAAGACTAATCCAATTGTACCTAACACCAAAAACATGGTCATCCTCCGTGGCAAACACTATGTAATTTGCGAACCAATGATAGTCATTGAAAACATGAAACAATTTAATTGTTTTCTTAATATTAGCACGAATTTGATCGCAAATGTTAAATTTGTCTAATATGGACGACATTTAAATAATTTAACAAGTTAAATTAATTAAATTTTCATTTATTTTGTTTAATGTTGTCAGCCATAACAAAAACACAAATAATATAAACAGTAATACGTAGTTTATGATATCATAAATTTTATATAACTATAGTTATATAAGATATTTATTTTATCTATGACATTTAAATAAGACTTGACATCTACGTGCATTATGGTAAACAAAATAATATTTATATTTAAATATATGTTTTGATTTACTACATACAAGGTTATAAATTTTCAGATTAAAATTTGTTTAACATTACAAAGTTTGCGATTTCTAAGATGGGTTAGTTTAACATTAATTGTTACGTAATTTTAGTGGCCATAATTATAACATTTAGTATTGTTATAACTTACAAACAATAATCATCATCATAATTTTACTTTTGTATTGTATAAAATTTACAATGTACATTGGAAAACACCATGATTAATTGTATTGTTCATTATTTATTCAAAATTTAATAGAGAACTAAGGTAAAGTATAATAAATAAGAGTTGTCAGTTATTTAGTGATCAAGTAAATTTATTAACGTATTTAGTATAACTTGAATTTCATAAATTAAAATAGTTTTACAGTTTATTAAGTAGCGTAGTATAGTCAAAAGGTTAGCGAACTTAATTACCCTATATTAAAATAGTTTCTCAATTCATTAATTGATTCATACAATAACCTTGGTAGACATTGGCTCAAGTCCATGTGATGTATTATCGAGAAAAATGGGTAAACTTCAGTAGCTTTGCTATAATTAGGCAAATCTTTTAACGCCTATTAAAATAAAAATAATTATGCCAATCACATTTTTACGTCACAATTATATTATACATACAATTTCATATAACGTGCAAGCATCATTGAACATAGATTCGCAAATTGTAGCTTCATTTTTATAACAACCCTGGTTATAACATAATTTGTGAAACGTGTGACCAAAATGGTGCTGGGTATTTTGAAACACTTCCTAATTCATGGACAGTCATATCGATGCAATTGCATAGAGTTTTAAAAGTTTTCAAATCATTTTCGGTTATACACGACGAAACAGTTTTCAGTATGGTGAGTTTGCTATTATCATCTTGATCATTTTGTACAGTACTGCTTGTTGCTGTGATTGATGTTGTATTTATCGGTGTTAAATAGTCATTTATAAATTGATCTCGCAACGTTTGAATTTTTTCATAAGATTTTTGCGTTAATGATTGTTTCAAATCCATGCCGTGTATTATCGAGAAAAACGGATATACCTTAATTGCCTCGGTATATGTTTTTAAATATATTAGTGCCTATTTAAAAGTACAATAATTATTATTGATAAATATATATTGACTAGTTGTTATGTAATTGTAAGATATTGTTTATCAATATGATATACATAAATTTTATAAAAGCAGAGTTAATGAGTTTTTTGTAGAATATAAAAAATATATTGCATAAAAATTATTTAAAATTAATAAATATTAAATTGATATGATACATACTATTCGATAATAATTGCAAATATAATCCGTAAACCATGATTGACACTTGTGTTCATTTAGATTAATATAACCTTTATCATTCATTAATTTCGATACGTAAGGCCAAAATGTGGTATTATTCTAGATAAAACTACCAAGCTCCTGTACAGTGGTGTCAATACAATGGCATAGTTCTTTAAATAACTTAAAATCATTTTCAGTAATGTTTGATGACTTGTGACATAAGGAGTTTAGTTCGCGATATTTATAAATGTTATTTTGATCAATAATAAAATTTGTATCTAGTTCGGTTTTGTTATCCGTTTTAGAATTAACTTCAAGTATTAACTTATCCTCATTGAATGAATCCCGCAATGATTTTATGGTTTTGTATGAACTACTACTCAATGATTGCCTCAAATCCATGGCATGTATTAACTCAAAAACGGGTATATCACAGCATTTGAATAGCTTGGCAAATGTTTAAGAGCCTGGTAAAATGAAAATATTTTTAATCAGTACGGTAATACTCACGAACCAAAATTATTAACAGTAATAAAACTACTAAATTAATCAAATAGAAATAAACTTGTTTACAGTCTCTCTCTCTCTCTCTCTCTCTCTCTATTAATTTAAATAAAAAATACAAACAATTGTGTAATAATTGCAAACATATTCCGTGAACCAGAATCTGCAGCTAAACTCACCGTAAAAATGGTAACCCTTTTCGTTCATAAGGCTCGACACAAATGACCAAAATTTTTGCGGATTCTGTGCATACGATCCCAACTGTTGCACAGTTATGTCAATACAAGTGCACAAAGTTTTAATTGTTTTAAAATCATTTTCCGTAATATTTGCTGATTTGACAAACAATTCGTAGACCTTGCTATTAATAGCTTTAAGAATGTGCTTGCTATTATATAGGTCAGTTTGATTGGAAATGTTACGCCAAATACCAACTTTATCTGTATTCGAAAATCAAGGTAGCATGTTTATTTATTGCATTGTAATATTTGAATATTAGTTACTTACCATGGGGATTTATATTTATTGAATCATCGGGATCGTTTGCATTACATTTAGTGCTAAAACCTTGTAAATCATTTTCATTAATATTTTTGAAGATATACTTATTTCAACAAAACTATAAGCGAGGGAAGAAAATGTGCCCAGGGTACAGAAAACGGCGTTGGTAATGGTCAAGCAAAAATGCTCCTTGTAGATTCCGTATAATAATAATGACTTAATTGCTAACGCTATTGTACCCACCAAAATTACAATTACGACAAATATCTACATAAAAAATATATGCAATTTCTACATTATTATTTTAATTGTTTATATAAAGAATATTTTTGTATATATTTACCCAAATAGGAAATGTTGTGTTTGCTTTTGATACACAATTGGGCCCCGAATATTTGCCAGTGCCAGGGTCATACACACAATTAGGCCTGTTTTGTGAACCCGATGGTGATTGTTGATTACTACTGATTACGGCTGAAAAAACCGCTAACATAATCATGATTAATATAATAGCTATGATTGTAGCTATCAACTCAATGATACTAATAGTAAATAGAGTCCATTTCTTAAACCCAAAATAACGATTACGCTCAGGTATGTTATAATAGTTTGCCATGTTTATTACACCAATTAATATTTACCTTTTACCATTTTTTTACATAGATAATAATCATTCACTCATTTGTAAACAAACCTATATTTTATTTTAAAATGTTTAAAAATTGAAAACTAATTTTAAATTCTGTGTGAAACATTCACTAAATAAATATAATATTTTGTGCACATTTCACATGAGTTGGTTTACTGTAAGGAATGCTTATGACATAAGCCTTATGTAAATATAACACTGAATTTTTATTTTTTAAAAGTTTATTCCTAAAACTTATGCAAATTAAGCTCCAATATAATATTAATAGCTTTATTTATTGTACAGAGTATACATAAATTAGCTAACATTGGCACAATGCCGGAAACATTTGCGCATTTGATTTTCATTCATACACAGGTATGATTATTAAACAAAAACAAGCATATTTTTATAAGATTTTAATTATAAAATTTATAAAAGCTGGGACATTTTTTAAAATAAATAAACCATTTATATTTATGGATATTGATAAAAATATTGCTTATGGAAATCCCACGCGTACGAGTAAGCTAGCACTGTTACTGCCAATTCAAATGCAAACGATATAATGTATTTTATGTTAACAAACATGTAAGCCAGTGAACTAAATGTGCCCATAGTGTACAATACGGCGTTCGTAATATTCAAACAGAAATGCTCCTGGTATATTCCGTAGATAAGTAACGATTGAATCCCCATAACTATTATGACCACAACTATTGATGTCATAACAATTGCCCGAAAATATCCCTATAATACAAAAAATAACAAAAATTAGTATAAATATTTAGATACAAGCTCAAAGTTAAAGTTTTAGATACAAGTCCTGAATTTTATATTAAAACTTACCCATTTAATGATTGAGTCTCCATTTGTTGTACAGTTGGGCCCTGAATATTTACCAGAACCTGGGTCATACGTACAATTTGATCTTAATTTAAACCCTGGTGATGATTGCTGATTACTTTTAGGTACGGCTGCCAAAGTTGCCATCAAATAAATCAG